CTCAATGATCACATGATTTCCTTAACAACTGCATTGATTTGCTTAACAACTATGTCAAAAAACGGTCGTAAAATGGGGCACAACTCACTTAACAGCTGCCTTGCTCAGCAATGGAAACTTTGGCTCCACTTGTAGTCGTAAGTCAAGGACTCCCTGTATATATGTAATAGGAATATTACAAGGAATATTACAAATCTCAAATATCTATGGAGGTTCTCAGTCATCCAGCTCCTGGTTGTCCCAAAGGTGCTTTTTTCAGCACTGGACTTGCTTGTTTTTCTTTGAAGACGTTTTGCTTCTCATCTAAGAAGCTTCTTCGGCTCTGACTGGATGGCGGGGAATGGAAGGATTTATACTCCTTGCAGACAGCTGGTCATTTGCATTCTTTTAAATCAGAGGTCCCCAACCTTTTGGGCACCAGGGACTGGTTCTGTGGAGAGAGGTTTTTCTGTGGGCCGGAGAGTGTGTGGTTTTGTGTGCTGCCTGCATCCCACAGATGGGGCTTTGCTTGTTTGTACAGACCAGTTGCTGGCATGCCGCGGCCCGGTACTGGTTCACGGACTGCGGGTTGGGGACCCCTGTTTTAGAGAATCGTTGAAGCCATTTGGAGTTTTGTCTGTGTCCTCAGAGTCACCTGAACAGTGTAAATGTGTGTGGAGCCTTCTTGGCTGCAGGATGTTTTCTGCCCTGGGTCCCTTCCTGGTTGAAGACAGGCGCAGACTGTTGGGGATGAGTCTGTGTTGTCTGCATCTCAAACTGAAACGCAAATGGTTCCTGTAGTCTGCAGTGTTTTCTGGAAATCCGTTCATCCTCCCGCACCATTCGAAGGATGTTCATCCCAAAGTGCGTAGCTAAACATCTATGGAGATTCTCAGTCATCCAGGTCGTGACTGTCCCAAAAGTGCTTTTTTCAGGAGGCAACTGGACTTTCTTGTTTTTCTTTAAAGACGTTTCGCTTCTCATCCAAGAAGCTTCCTCAGCATCTGACCGGATGATGGAGAATGGAAGGATTCATATTCCTTGCCGACGTCTTTGAAGAAACGTCTTCAAGGAAAAACAAGAAAGCCCTGTTGCCTCCTGAAAAAGCACCTTTGGGCTCAAGGCTCAAATGGCATAAAATACACCTCCCTCCCTTGTGACACACCGCATAGATCAGACATGTCAAACACAAGGCCTGGGGGCCGGATGAGGCCCACAAAGTGGTTTCATGTGGCCCGCGAAGCCATCCTGGAAACAGTGAGGGAACGGCCCCTGCTGCCTTGGCCCTGGCCCAGGCCAGCCGGGAGCCAATGTACAATTTTGTGGTGGCCATCTTGGCACTTGTCCCGGTGGACCATGCCTTGGCATTTGCCCTGGTCCTACCCCCTTCTACAAGAGACCCTCAGATCTGTCCCACTCCTGCCCAGGCCCCCATAGGCACCCTTGACGCAAATGATGTAGAACTGGCCACGCCCAGCCAGTAGGCCACACCCACTCCATCCACGCCCACCCAGTAGACTGCACCCACTCTGGCCACACTCACCCGGCCCCCCAGGGCAACCGCAATGCTGCTGCGGCCCTCAGTGAAATTGAGTTTGACACCCCTGGCATAGATTCAATTAATGGTATCTCCATTTTCTCTATTTCTGCAGGAAATGAAGCCACAGGGGAGCCGTTGCAGATGACCTCCCTGGAGTGAAGATGTCCTCCTTAGACCCCCTCCCTCCCGCCACGCCTCCCTCCCAGAAACCCACTCGCATCATCAAGCCTCGCCCACCCACCAGGCCGCGCCCCTACCTGCCCCCCAGGCCAGACTCCACTAAGCTGCTCCGGGTCCCTACCCCTCCTTTGCCGCTGGAGAAAGATGGGTGCTCTCAGGTCACCGAAGTGCCCGGTGGCCCACCTCAGCCCTTGCACAAGCTGCAGAAATCTGGTGCCGTTCGCAAGATCGTGGTACACTTCGATCGAGCGGGTCCTCCAGAGAAGGAAGAAGCCGAAAAAATGGTCCGATCGCCGCCTTCCAGCTGCCAGCAGGATGAGAACCAGGAAGAGGCGGCCATTAAAGAAAAAGAGGTCCAGGATGGATTGGGTAAGTGGGCCAGCTTTGATTGGGGTTCCGAAAGTAGACTTGGCCGTGATCCTTTGGATCAGCATTTCTGGACAGCATTTTGGGAACTAGATTTCCCCCTAGATCTGGCCCAAAGCCACCCATCTGGCTTTCAAGGCAGGATTAGAACTCAGAACTCTCCCCACTCCTAGTCCAGCCCTTTTAAAGATGGTGTCAGACCTGCTTGCTGGGCAGATCCTGAGCATCTTTGAATCTGGAGTCCAGCTTGGAGCAGATTAGATTTCAGTCCTAAAAAAACGGTAAGTCAACTGTTGGAGAAAATCACTCGCTAAATTGGAAATAAATGCTGCAAATAAATGCGAGCCCGGAGATTTGCAAATGTATGCTCGGCATAAAATCCATCTTCACCATCCCCAACAGTTTGCAAGACACCGAGTTGTTCAGTTCTGCCCACTTTGGGTTTCCATCAGTGAAGTAGAAGCACACAGCGTATTTCTGAGTCTCATCCTGGTTCCATCCAGGCTAGAAACATAACACCGCAAATACAATTGGAATTTGGGGGGTTGCTTGAATCTGTAAACTGCGGAGTTCATGAAATGCTTCCCCGTCCTGTGTTTTTACCTGCCATGAATCAGAAGTTTTCTTCCCCTTTATTCAGTAGACAGTGTGGTCTAATGGTTAAAGCACCAGGCTAGAAAGCAAGCGATTGTGAGTTCAAGTCCTACCTTAACCTTGAAAGCCAACTTGGTGACGTTAGGCCAATCACCAGGAGATTGTGAGTTCTAGTCCTGCCCTGTGCACAAAAGCTGACTGGGTGACTTTGGACCAATCACCAGTAGGCTGGGAATTCTTGTCCCGCCTTAGGCATGGCTGAGTGACCTTAGGCCATTCGCTAGACGACTGTGAGTTCTAGTTTGGCCCTATGCACAAAAGCCAGCTGGGTGACTTTGGACCAATCACCAGGAGGCTGTGAGTTTTAGTCCCGCTTTAGGCATGAAAGCCGGCTGAGTGACCTTAAGCCATTCACTAGGCGACTGTTAGTTCTAGTTTGGCCCTATGCACAAAAAACAGCTGGGTGACTTTGGACCAATCACCAGGAGGCTGGGAGTTCTCGTCCCGCCTTAGGCATGAAAGCCGGCTGGGTGACCTTAGGCCATTCACTAGGAGGCTGTGAATTCTAGTCCTGCCTTGTGCACAAAAGCTGGCTGGGTGACGTTGGACCAATCATCAGGAGTTTGTGAATTCTCGTCCCGCTCTAGGCACAAAAGCCAGCTGTTTAATTTTGGGCTAGTCAGTCTTTGTCTCAGCCCAACCCACCTCACAGGGTTGTTGTTGTGGGGAAAATAGGAGGAGGAAGGTGTGTTGGATAGGTTTGCTGCCTTATTTGTAAAAGCAGTGAAAGTGGGATATAAAGAAAGAAAGAAAGAAATCAAATCAAAATTATCTCTCTGCTTCCTCAGATTCTTGCAAGGACACCCAGCCGTCCATGTTGTCGATGGTAGAGCAGAACGGGCTGGATTTGCCCACTTCCTGCCTGTCCGGCTGCCCCTGTGTTTGCCATCAACAAAACCCAGGGATGGTCTTGATTTGGGTCCCTGCAACTTCCTGGCTGCAAGAGGGGGATATGGAGAACGGGCTGGCCTCAGACCTATCATCCTCTGCCGACGAAGGGGGGGCCTCCTTCCAAAAATTCCTGGGACTCGGTGCACCGCCTACCCAGCCTTCCTCCACTGCAGCGGGCAAGGTCCCGAAATCTCGCCGCTTGTCCCGAAGCAAAAAGCCTGTTGACTCCCCGCCGTCCACCAACGGGCACCCCGAAGGGGGTGTGGTCCTGACAAGCTACCGCTCCACAGCCGAGCCCCTTCCCCTACGCTGCCCGCCGTTGATGCCCAAGCCGCCCCGTCGCAACAAGGGAGGTGGCTCTCTCTCTCTGGATGGCGAGCTCCTACCTCCGGCCATCCCACCGAAAGCCCCCGTGAAACCGCCCCGCAGCTCCTTGGGATCCTCGGCTCGTCGGAGTTCCCTCCAATACCCGCTTGAGATGAACCACCTTCCTGGCCGGGTCTCCCCTTTTGCTGTTGAGGAAGGCTTTCTCATGTTGCCTCCCCCCACCCAGCCACCCCCACCTCCCCCCAATTCTCAGACCCCTCCGCCCCTCTCCATTTCTCAGACTCGCTCCCAGATGTGCTCAGCCCCCCCTCCGCCCTCCCAGCCCCCTCCCCTGCTGCCCCAGGGTCTCCCTCCTCCGCCAACTCAGCCACCGCCACCTCTGGAAAGTTCACCTCTGGATGACAGCCCTTTCCAAGGTACTATTTTGACACCTTTTGGGGTACAACTGTATCTCCCAACCTCAATTACTTTAAGATGTGTGGACTTCAACTCCCAGAATTCGCCCAGCCAGTTTTGCTGGCTGTGGAATTCTGGGAGTTGAAGTCCACACATCTTAACATAATTGAAACTGAGAAACTTTGTGGTAGCTGGCTTGGAATTCTGGGAGTTGAAGTTCACACATCTTAATGTAGTTGAAAATGAGAAACTTTGTGCTAACTGATTGTGGAATTCTGGGAGTTGAAGTCGACATATGTTAATGTAGTTGAAAATGAGAAACTTTGTGCTAACTGATTGTGGAATTCTGGGAGTTGAAGTTCACACATCTTAATGTAGTTGAAAATGAGAAACGTTGTGCTAACTGATTGTGGAATTCTGGGAGTTGAAGTCCACACATCTTAATGTAGTTGAAACTGAGAAACTTTGTGGTAGATGGCTTGGAATTCTGAGAGCTGAAATCCATACATATTAATATGGTTGAAACTGAAAAACTTTGTGCTTCCTAGTTGTGGGATTCTGAAAATTGAAGTCCACACATCTTAACATAGTTGAAAGTGAATAATTTTGTGGTCTAAAGACGGGGGAATAGGGATATTGTGTTGTCACCCACTTTCAAGTTTTTCTTAGCTAAGGGCTGCCTGGAGGGGCGAGATCCCAAAACCGGAGGGGGCATTTTTGCTTGGGGAGGGCAAGAAGCACAAGAGACCTTTCAGTTCAAAAAGTAAAAAGTTTGAATTTTTTTTCCACATGCAGCAGCTCAGTTTTTCTGCTCGGAACCCTTTTGGGTCTTCCCCAACGTCTCATTTCTCTCTCAGTAGCTGCTATGCACTAGAACAGTGGTTCTCAACCTGTGGGTCGGGACCCCATTTGGGGTCGATCGACCATTTCATGGGGGTCGCCAAGCAAGGCTGTCCGCCATTTTTTTTTGTCCGCCATTTTTTCCCCCTTTTCCGGGGGGTGCCTTACCTCCCTTGGGCTGGGCCAGCTGGTGGTCGGCCTGCTCCGTCTCTGCCGCTTGCCAGCTACGCCTCGGCCGGCGCAGGGGGCGGAACCACGCATGCGCGGCGCTCCCGGGCAGGGAAAGTCCTCGACTTACGACCAGTTGGGTAGTCCTCGACTTACGACCAATTTAGTCCTCGACTTATGACCGGTTTAGTCCTCGACTTACGGCCGGTTTAGTCCTTGACTTACGACCGGTTGGGGTCACGGCATTAAAAAGGTTGAGAACCACTGCACTAGAAGCTGTGCACTGAAAATAAAACAGTGTTTTGACTCAAAACATTTGACGTATTGTTACAGTGCAAAGGTTTTATTTACTTGGACCTTCAGGAAAGATACAATCTCTGATCCGATTGGAGAGGGTCACTCTCTGTTCCCTCTCCTGCTGAGAATGTGGCTTGGCTCATTTATTTCGAGTTGCGTGTAGACCTCGACTTATGAGGGTCACTCTCTGTTCCCTCTCCTGATGAGAATGTGGCTTGGCTCATTTATTTCGAGTTGCATGTAGACCTCGACTTACGACCATATTGGAGCCTGCCTCTTATGGTTGCAAGTAAATACCAGTTTTCAGCAAAAACATTGTAAAATGGTCATATGACCATGAGACACTTCAAATGGCTGTCAGTGTAAGCCAGTTGTTGAACACCCAAACTACATTTACATGCTGGGGAGACAGGCAGCCATTGGAATTTCAGAAATGGGTCATAAGTAGATAAGATAAGAGATAAGATAACCTTTATTGTCATTTTTTTTACTGCGGGCCCAACGGCACACATCAAAAATTAAATTTAGCTGCCCGCTCTCAAAGTGAAACACATACATGACGCACACCTAAACATACTATGTACAACATATGTATAGACCCACACCCCTACATATACCTAGCAAATAAATATTAAATACTGTCCATCTTGAATATATAACGGAAGGAGGAAGCTTGAGAGTTCACAAGGTTAATGCTGTATGGAATGAAACTATGGCTGAATCTGGATGTTCTGCTTCGGATACCACGAAGCCTCCTCCCAGAAGGTAACAAGGAAAGCAGGTTGTGAAGAGGATGTGTAGTGTCCCAGATAATCTTACAGACCCTGCTCAAGCAGCGCTTCTGTGCTGTGTCCTGGATGGGAGGAAGGGAGCTGCCAATGATCTTTTCAGCTATCCTCACCACTCTCTGCACCGCCTTCCTGTCCGAAGCAGTGATGCTTCCAAACCAGACTGTGATCGTCCCCCTGTAGAAAGTGGTCAGGACAGGGGAAAGAAGATGTGCTTCTCTGTGGAAGTATCCCCGTGGAAGTGCATGGTAAATTCCAGTGTTGCTACACAATCGGTTGTAAGTCGAGGACGGCCTGTGTTTGATTCAGACTTCCTTAATCTGATGCCTTCCGGAAGTGTCACACTGCAACTCCCATCCTCCTCAATCCAAACCAGGAGAAATGCTTGATGTGTTACAGCAATGCTTAGGTCTTCCCTAACGTCCGTAATCTGTGCTTGTCTGTGTTATAAACTTAAATGTCCTTTTCTGTTACCCCACTCACTGACTCTGCAAACTTTTTCTTCTGTAGGCGGCTGTGAAAATGAAGAGAGCAGTTTCAGCGACTCAGAGACGGACAAGTCAGACAACAGGTGTGTGTTGTTTCTCTGCTTCCTTGAAATTCCAAAGGGAGAGATTTACCTGGGTGTGCAAACAGAATGCCAGTTTAGACTTTGAAGCGTCTAATACAGGCAGTCCCAGAGGTGCTTTTTTCCACAAGGCACCTGGACTTCCTTGTTTTTCTTTGAAGACATATTGCTTCTCATCCAAGAAGCATCTTCAGCTCTGACTAGATGGTGGGGAATGGAAGGATTTATACTCCTTGCAGACAGCTGGTCATTTGCCTTCTTTTAGAGAATTGTTGGGGCCAATTGGAGTTTTGTCTGTGTCATCAGGGTCACCTGAGTAGTGCAAATGGGTGTGGAATCTTCTTGGCTGCAGGATGTTTTCTGCCCTGTGTCCCTTCATGGTTGAAGACAGACGCAGGCTGTTGGGAATGAATCTGTGTTGTCTGCCTCTCAACCTGAAGCGCGAATGGTTCCTGTAGTCTGCAATGTTTTCTGGAAATCCAGTTCATCCTCCTGCACCATTCAAAAGGTGTTCATCCCAAAGTGCATCACTAAATGTCTATGGAAATACATAATAATAATAATAATAATAATAATAATAATAGTAGTAGTAGTAGTAGTAGTAGTAGTAGTAGTAGTAGTAGTAGTAGTAAAGTTGGAAGGGACCTTGGAGGTCATCTAGTCCAACCCCCTGCTCAGGCAGGAAACTCTATACCTAATAACAACAACAACAACAACAAGAACAACAACAATAATAATAATAATAATAATAATAATAATAATGCCTATCCCAGGTCCTTGGTAAGGACTCGATAGGTAGACAAAATGCCAAATCCAGTCTGAACACCTGGCTGACTGTGCGATGATCAATAATAAAGGAATGGGCCTTGGAGGTCATCTAGTCCAACCCCCTGCTCAGGCAGGAAACCCTATACCATTTCAGACCAAAGGTGTCCAGCTAGTCCTCAACTTACAACAATTCGCTTAGTGACTGTTTGAAGTTACAACGGCACTGAAGAAAGTGACTTAGGACGTTTTTTCACATTTACGACTGTTACAGCGTCCCCATGGTCACGTGATCAAAATTCAAATGCTTGGAACCTGACTCATATTTATGACGATTGCTTTGTCCCACAACCCTGGGATCACCTTCTGCGAGCTTCTGACAAGAAAAGTCCATGGGGAAGCCAGATTCACTTAACAACCGTGTTACTAATGTAACACCTGCAGTGATTCACTTAACAACTGTGGCGAGAAAGGTCGTAAAATGGGGGGAAACTCGCTTAAGAAATATTTCCCTTAGCAACAGAAATTTGGGGCTCGATTGTAGTCGTAAGTCGAGGATTACCTGTGTCTTGATAGTATCAATTGATCATTATCTCTGGAGGATTTATAACTTCTGAACAAGGAGAAAGCGGGATAAAAGCTATGGAAGCTGATATTAACTTGTGCTCCCATGTCATTTGTTCCACAGAGTTTTGCTTTCTGCAGTTGTAAGCAATTGCTCCACCATCTACAAATATGGTTATATATTACCAAAACTCTCATGTCTGAATTTTTGTATCCTTCAATTGGTTGAAATGGGCATCTCTAGTGGGAGAAACGGGCTAGTAGGTTTGGCGTACCTAGTCCAACAAGTTTAAGAATTTTGCTAAAAGTAGGCAATCCGTTGGGTCATTTCAGAGATATTTGCTTACTAAAAGCTAGCAGGGAAAGGTGAAAATAGGGCAATAATTTTTGAATCAATATACTTCAAATGGGTTAACTTACAAAATGCAACTGCAATCTGAGACCCATGACTCCCGTGAGATTGAAATGTGGCAAAATTGTGGCCGCTTCAGTCCTGCCTCAGTCAGCCACGGTGAAGTGATCATCACTTCCAACGCTCCCTGCCATCTTCCTACAAGGAAATTCACTGGGGAAGCCAGCGGGAAATTGGAAGTCACTCCCCCTGCCACTGCTTTTTTCCCCATCCGTGGTCATTCTGTCATTCTGACCCAGGACTCCTGTGGGACTGAAATTTGGGAAAAAAATGGCTGCTTCAGTGCTGCCATGCCAACACACTGCTGCGTCAGCCACAGTCACTTGATCGTTAATTTCCACCTTTCCCTGCTAGCTTCCTGCAAGGAAAGTCCATGGGGAAGCCAGCAGGAAGTCAGAAGTTGGTCCCACTGCTGTTTTGGCTGCTTGTGTTTATTCTGTTTCTCTGTTTCAGTAAAGAAATATCTCTGAAATGGCCCAATGTGGCACAGGTTGCCTACTTTTAGCAAAATTCTTAGCTTGTTGGACTAGATATGCCAAACCTACCAGCCCATTCTCCCACCGGAGGTGCCAGTGTTGGCCATGTTGACCAGCTCTTTGATGCCCTGGAATATAATCTGTCAGCTATTCACTGTATTCTTCTTAAATAACAGATTTATACAGACTGAGAGAAAGATACATAAAAAAGAGAGCTTTCAAATGTTCTTCAAGACTATGAATTTTGATTATTGCTTATCTGGCACAAGAATAGGGGAACAGATATTTTCTCTAATTATTTGAAAAGGATTTCCATGAGGGAAAGAGTATATGTTAATCACTGCTGTCAAACAAGCGTTACGAATTAAGTAGTTATTAAGAAAGTAATTTGATGAGGAAGGAAAGTCCAGAGACGGACTAGAGCATTTGTGGTTTTGAACATCTCTATTTCTGATTTCTGAATTCATGGGATTTTCTAAAGCATTAGCAGAAAAAACAAAACAAAAATTCCCAATGACATCAAAATTAAAAATTTGGGGGAAAACCAAGAGGGTTTATTTTTCATGGTTCTCTGTTTGATGCTGGATGAAGATTTAAGCACCAGTTTGAAATATGGGTTGGCCTCAGTTTCCCACCATTTGTTTAGGAACCTTTCAAAGCTACAATGACGCTGAAAAAAGTGATTTACAACCAGTCCCACACTTATGACCATCACAGCATCCCCAGTCACGTGATCAAAATTTGGCTGCTTGTATTTACAATGGTTGCACCATCCTGGGAAAAGCCAACACAGTGCTAGGCTGCATTAACAGAGGGATAAAATCAAGATCACGTGAAGTATTAATACCACTTTACAATGCCTTGGTAAGGCCACACTTGGAATACTGCATCCAGTTTTGGTCACCACGATGTAAAAAAGATGAGGCTAAAACATATAAGGAACGGTTGCTGGAATTGGGTATGTCTAGTTTAACAAAGAGAAGGACGAGGGGGGACATAATAGCAGTCTTCCAATATCTCAGGGGCTGCCACAAAGAAGAGGGAGTCAAGCTATTCTCCAAAGTGCCTGAAGGCAGGACAAGAAGCAATGGATGGAAACTAATCAAGGAGAGAAGCAACCTAGAACTAAGGAGAAACTTCCTGACAGAACAATTAACCAGTGGAACAGCCTGCCTCCAGAAGCGGTGAATGCACCAACACTGGAAGTTTTTAAGAAGAAACTGGACAGCCATTTGTCCAAAATGGTATAGGGTTTCCTGCCTGAGCAGGGGGTTGGACTAGATGACCTCCAAGGTCCCTTCCAACTTTATCATTATTATTAACTGTCTCAGCTGGTTTCCAACAAGCTAAGTCAACAGGGGAAGCTTTACCCATTGCATAATTCACTTAACAACTGCTTCACCACCTTGGCAAAAAAAAATATCTCGAACTTCGTAAACGTCTTGAACAGCTTGTAAAACTGCGTGACTCACTTCACAAGCGCCTTCCTTAGCAATAGACATTCGGATCCCGTAGTGGTAAATCAAGGACTACCTTTAATTACTTGCTCAGTTTGAGTCTGACTCCTGATGATTTTGTGGACACATCTGTACAGGTAGTCCTTAACCCTACGACCACAATTGAGGCCCAAATTTCTGTTGCTAAGCGAGACACTTGTTAAGTGTTAGGTTTTGCCCCATTTTACGACTTTTCTTGCCACAGTGGTTAAGTGAAACGCTGCAGTTCTTAAGTTAATAACATGGTTGCTAAGTGAATCTGCTTCCCCATTGACTGCTTCTTAGAAGGTCGTAAAAGGGGAATCCCGTGATCCCTGGACTCTGCAATCATATGAATCTGTTGCCAAGCATCTGAATTTTGATCTCATGATCAGGGGGATGGTGCAAAGGTCATAACTGTGAAAAACGGTCATAAGTCCCTTTTTTCAGTACGGTTGTAACTTCAAACGGTCACTAAACAAATTATTGTAAGTTGAGGACTATCTGTGTACAGTACTTTTCTAAATAGTAGTATGGAAATGGTTTGCAAATACCTTCTTCCCAGTATAATTTCCAATGCTAGGACTTCTTAGTGGTGTCCCATCCAAGTAGCTATCTGGCTCAACCCTGCTCAGCTTGCTTGGGTTAGCTAATATTTTTTAGGTGCTTACCTACTATGTTAAGACATAAGATGACTTTGGATATAAAGTGCAAATTGAATTTAAAATCCACAAACCAAGAATGCCATTTGTGCAATGGGTGTCTAGTTCCTGGGTGATGTACAAAGGCGTCCAGTTTCTTACTTTTATTTTTTTTCCTCCAGCTTTGCTCCAAATGTGGACTTACAAGCTTCTTAGCCAAATCAACAACTGCAGAATTGATCTGCTCTTAGGACTGCTTACCATTGGCTTTTTCTGTTTTACCCCTTTATCACAGGCATTCTTCAGTGCTACCGTCTAAGAGTCCAGACTGGGGGCTTTGCTTGCAGGACGGTAAGTAGACCGCACGTTTATTTTTTTTTAAAAAAATTGAGAGCAAAGAGAAACCCAGGAAAATTGACGCAGTTACAGACACCGAACAGCCTCTGACTCAATTTCTTTTCCTTCTTCTGAAATCCCTTGTGAAATTCTCTCCCATTTCCTAAAGGGGTGTTTCTCAACTTTAAGATGTGAGGATGCTGGCTGGGAAAGTCTGGGCGTTGAAGTCCACAAATATTAAAAGTTGAGAAAGTTGAGAAATGCTAGCCTGAAGGCATAGTTCACTGCTGAGATGGTTTAAAAGCCCTGCTTAGGGCGCTGCCTCATTGCTAAATCCTTGTGCTACCATTCCCTAGTAGTTACTCATCTGAATTTCCTTCTTTAGGTTTTTAAAGTTCACTTACAGGGGCTAGATGTGAAGACTGGGGACATTCGTAAGAACTCACTTATGCCAGTGTTTTTCAACCTCAGCCATTTTAAGATGTGTGGACTTCAACTCCCAGAATTCCTCAGCCAGGAATTAAAGGATTGTCTGCCTTGGCATACTCTAATCCAGTGTTTTGCAATCTTGGCGATTCTAAGATGTATGGACTTCAATTCTCAGCTATGCTGGTTGGGGAATTCTGGGAGTTGAAGTCCACAAGAATAACTGCCTTAGATTAACTAGGGAAAAAAAACCACTTTATTCATACAAATAGCACCCAAATCAGAAAATAATAACAATGAAAACCAGGTTTTCTTAAAACTCTTTGCAATCCGAAGGTGATAATTAGAAAATAAAATTATACCTCCAGAATATATTCTGCAGAAGAGTAAGAAATGACTTGATGGCAGATAATCAATCAATCAAACAAACAATCAATATCAAACAATGCAATTCTGTTTCAACTATGTGTGGACTTCAATTCCCAGAAGTCCACCGTTAATCCCAAACATGATAATTGGAAAATAAAATTATACCCCCAGAATATATTTTGCAGAAGAGTAAGAAATGACTCGATGGCAAATAATCAATCAATCAGACAATCAATCAATGAATCAATATCAATCAATACAATTTTCAGTTTCAACTATGTGTGGACTTCAGTTCCCAGAATTCCACAGCCAGCTACCACAAAGTTTCTCAATTACAGTATGTTCAGCTGTGGGGACTTCAGCTCCCAGAATTCCACAGCCAGCAGTGCTGGCTAGGGAATTCTGGGAGTTGAAATCCACACATTTTAAAATGGCTGAGGTTGAGAAACACTGCACTGTGTCCTTTACTTCACACAAGTTAAAATGGTTTTTCGGATACACTTAACAATGTTTAACAAGAAACTGACAGCTTTCTGAGAACCCTAGGCCAAAACTGGATGATTGCAATCTTGAAGAGTTTTTTTTTATGAAGTATAGATTTTCTTCGACTTACAACCATTCATTTAGTGACCGTTTGAAGTTACGACAACCCTGAAAAAAGTGACTTATGACCATTTTTCACACAACCGTTTGCAGCATCCCCATGATCACATGATCACAAATTTGGATGCTTGACAACTGGCACATATTTATGACACAATTGCAGTGTCCCGGGGTCACGTGATCCCCTTTGGCGACCTTCTGACAATGGGGAAGCCAGATTCACTTAGCCACTGTGTTGCTAACTTACCAACGGCAGTGATTCACTTAGCAACTGTGTCAAGAAAGGTCGTAGAACGGGGCGAAACTCACTACACAACTGTCTCGCTTAGCCAAAGACATTTTGGGCACAATTCTGGCCGTCAGTCGAGGAGTGTGGGTGTGGCATGTTATTCCCCAACCAAGGTTCATTGTGTTGTGTCTTCTTCTGATGTCTTGCAGAGCCTTTGTATCAAACATATCGCCAGGCTGTCATCTCCAAAGAGATCAAGAGGCAAACGGTTCCCCACAACAGTAGTTTCAGCAGCTCGGACTACAGAGCCCCTTCTCCTGGGGAAGGGTCGACGGGGCCCCAGGGCTCCATCCCTCACAGCACCCTTTGGCAGGAGCTGCCCGCTGTACGAGAAAGTGGCGTTTTGGAAAACATCAGCCCAGAAGAAAGGAAAATGCAGGAGGTAACTCTGACAGGACTTTAGACAGAGAGGCGTTTCCCATCAGACAGAATTTGAGGTGTCTGAAATGCTTCAGAAATTTCCTGAGGAATTAAATCAGTGGAATGACTTGCTTCCAGAAGTTGTGGGTGCTCCAACACTGGAGTTTTTTTTTTAAGGAGATTGGACAGCCATTTGTCCGAAATGATATAGGGCAGTGATGGCGAACCTTTTAGAGACCAAGTGCCCAAACTGCAACCCCAAACCCATTTATGCATTGTCGGGTGCCGCGTGGGTGTGGCCCATTGGCTGGGCGTGGCCAATTGGGTGGGTGTGGCTGCAGTGGGCATGGCTGCAGTGGTAACGGCAGACTGGGTGGGACTAAAAAGTTCAATCAATCAATTCCAACTTTGCAAGATCTTTTTTTTTCCAGCGAGAAGTTGAAATTGACTGATTGATTGAACCTTTTTTTTTTTTTTTGGCACACGGCGGCGGAGGCCTAAAGCGAAAAGGTTTTATAAAACCCAGCTGAAGGCCTAGGACTGGGGCGATGGCGCGTGTGCCCACAGAGAGGACTCTGAGTGCCACCTCTGGCACCCGTGCCATAGGTTCGCCACCACTGATATAGGGCAGTGGTGGCGAACCTATGGCGCGGGTGCCAGAGGCGGCACTCAGAGCCCTCTCTGTGGGTACACGCGCCGTCGCCCCAGTCCTAGGCCTTCAGCTGGGTTTTATAAAACTTTTTCGCTTTAGGCCTCTACCGCCATGTATTGACCAATTATCGCCCGGTCTCCAACCTTCGCTTTGTGGCGAAGGTTGTTGAGAGTGTGGTTGCGCAGCAGTTCCCTCGACACCTGGAGGAAACAGTCTATCTAGACCCGCTCCAGTCGGGCTTCAGGCCGGGATACAGCACGGAAACG